CGGTGATCTTCATCTTCTCCGACTAGATCTGGCTTCTTCTTTGAGAGGCGGGAATGAAGTCGAGATCGGGAGCGAGACAGGAGGAGGCGTCTGAAAGTGATTTCAGACTTCCATTTTCCACTTAAAATTCAGACCATTTTAAGAGGTTTTAAGCTCTTAATTTGAAAAAAAAACAAACTGTCTGAAATGGTCAATGTCTGACCGAATCAGACTTCAGATGTAATTAAGAGGCTTTTTTTGAAAAACAAACAACCCCTAAGTTGGGTCTTCAAAGTTTGAATTTCCTATAAAATAAATAAAACGTTATAATATTTAATATGAATTATAAGCTAAGTCGATAAACATCATCAAAGGAAAAGAGACACATACGTGCTTATCTGAAGACGATGAACCAGCTTCCGGAAAGTCCCCGGTCAAGACACAATTGGGATCTTGGTTGTACCCAAACCCAAATAAACGGCATTTCTTGCTTCCCCCAACCGCTTGCTCCCACAACTCTTTATCAACTAAGGGATAGGTTGAGGGATCATCGCCGTATCTTTGGCTGATACCAGTTGAATACTCATTCTATATATAGTTTAAAAAAGATTGTAAGTCAATTTTGACAGCATAACGGCTGTAAATGGGACGTTTCCAAAACAATCCTAACGTTTGCGTAATAAATGGCAACCCAAACTAAATTATGACATATACGTAATTTCTAACATAAACAATCTAACGCTTGCCCAACAAATGGCAACCCAAACTAAAACATGATATATATGTAATTTCTAACGTAAACAATCATAATGTTTGCCCAACAAATGACAACCCAAACTAAATAATGAAAATATAAGTAATTTCTAACTTAAACAATTATAATGTGTGCCCAATAAATGGCAACCCAATTATAATAGATAGACATACTTACCATGACTTGGCTACACTTAGTGGTCACGTACTCCCCGAATCCGTAGATGCTGAAAAACGATATTCTTTTTTTAGAAATTTTTTTAATTTTCCGCCGGAAATCCGCCGAAAAAGGTTATATTTTTTAAAAGAAATATTTAATTATCCGCCGAAAATCCGCCGGAAAATTGTTAATTCTTTTTTTAAAGAATTTTTAAATTTTCCGCCGGAAATCCGTCGGAAATGTTAAATTTTTTTTTAAAATTATTTATTTTGCCGCCGGAAATCCGCCGGAAAATTGTTTATTCTTTTTTTAGAATTTTTTTTAATTTTCTGCCGGAAATCCGCCGGAAATGGTTATATATATATTTTTAAAAATATTTAATTATCCGCCTCAAATCCGCCGGAAAATTGTTAATTCTTTTTTTAAAGAATTTTTAAATTTTCCGCCGGAAATGTTAAATTTTTAAAAAAATTATTTAATTTTCCACCGGAAAATTGTTTATTCTTTTTTAATTGTACGCCGGAAATCCACCGGAAACGGTTATATATATTTTTTTAAAAATTTAATTATCCGCCGGAAATCCGCCGGAAACGGTTATATATTTAAAAAAAAAAATTTAATTATCCGCCGGAAAATTGTTAATTTTAAAAATAAAAAAATTAAAAAATCCGCCGGAAATCTGCCGGAAAATTGTTAATTTAAAAAAAAAAAATTAAAAAATCCACCGGATATCCGCCGGTAAAATGTTGTAATTAGATGTAAATTCAAGATTAAACTGAATACTTAAGAAATCCGCCGGAAATTGTTGAAAGTCAATAAAATGTTGACTTTTTAGTGTCCGCCGGAAATCCGCGGCGGATTTCGTCCGCCGGAAACGACGCCGGAAATTGTCAGTTTTCTAGTAGTGTGTAAGCATGGGAATTGAAACATATGTGCATATTAATGATAAGAACCATGTATTACAGGAACAACCGATACTTCCTTTCAATTTACGTTACACACATGTAAATGTGGTTGTGAAAGTGAAAAAACTAATACCATCGTAGGATGTTTAGTTTATGGCATGAAAGGTTAGGCCATTTAGGATCAACAATCATGTGCAAGACAATTGAAAGTATACATGGATATTTGTTGATAAACTAGAAGACCCCTCACACTCTGGAATGATCAGATTGTTTTTTCCTGTACAAGAATAAGGTAGGAGTTGCTTTCTACCTTTTTGTGTTGCTAAAAATAATAATGGGAGGAAACAACTGATGGTTTGAAGGTTTTCTTTAAATAAGGTCCCGTTTGGTTTGTAAGAAAGGAATGGATTTGGAGGGATTTCGATTTCAAATCCATTTCAATCCCATGTTTTATTTGTTGCTTTGTCCGGATTTGAAATCATATGATTTAATCGAAATCCTAGAAACGTAGGATTTTGAAATCCTTAGTGGGTGCTCAGGATTTCATGAGATTTCGTAGGATTGTATGTGATATGTGTTGAGAATTTAACACATAACGCACTCTTTTTAAGAGTTTTTAGTTACAATAATTTCTTTTCATTCCCACTTTGAGTCCTTTTCATTTATTTCTTTATACTTTTGTTATTATGAAGCTAAATGTTGTGGTTGACTTGATGTTATATGTAAATGATGCTAATTGGGAGTTTTTGTGAAAACAGCAAATGCTACAGCATTGGTACAACGTTGACCTGAGTCTTACACGACTTTTTGGAGGGCTTAATGAACAAGACGCTGACTTTTTGAAGGTGGAATACAGCTGTAAAAGGGCTGGATTTTTAGTAGAAAATCAGTTGTACTCTTTAGTTAAGCTTATGTACTCTTTAGTTAGGCTATTGTACTTTCTAGTTGAACTTTGGTTAAAGAATTGTACTTGCTAGTTAAGCTTTTGTTGTAATGTAACTAGTGTTGGTAAACTTAGCCTCCAAGCTTTGTTCTTTTGTCTTTTAGTGCCCATTTTGGGTATAAATAGGAGGCTAGGGTTACCATCTTTCTCATACTTTAATCCATCATCCATTGGATTCTCTCTAATCCTCCTCCTCTTTTCTCCCAACTTTTCTTTCTTTTGCTTTAAACCCTCTCATAGGGTGTTCTTCAAGTTCATCTTCATCTTCTTCTTTATTTACTTTATTGTCTTTTATTTTCCCGTTATTTACTTTCCGTTATTTATTTTCTCGTCATTTACATTCCGTCATTTATTTTCCGCTATTTACATTCTCGTCATTTACATTCCCGTCATTTATTTTATCGTCATTTACATTTCCATCATTTATTTTATCGTTATTTACCTTACGCAATTTACATTTATGTCTTTACTTTCCGTCATTTATTTTTTACTTTCCGTTATGAGTAGCTAAGCTTTTATAGCTTGGGTGTGAGACGGAAAGGTGAGATTTTCAAACCAAACGAAAGTAGCTAAGTGTTTTCGAAAACGACGTTTCATTGTTTCATTCGAGTTTTTATAAAACCAAGCACACTTCTTGACTGGTTGATCACTTGAAAGTGTTAAAGTGCGATGGACTTAGAGATAAGCCATCATTAAGCACGTCAACTTGGATGACATAAGAGGTAGACTTGAGAAAGTTGCCGACAAGGAGACTTGTCATTTATGTTTTTCAAAACGTAACTCCCGACGGGTTGGTCGCTTGTCAAAAGTGTCAAAGTGTGATATATTCAGAGATGAAATATCAAGAACACGCCAACTTGAATGATATGGGAATCGACTCGAGAGAGTGATTTTTAACAAAGAGATTTGTTAATCCACATATTTTGAATACACCATCGTGTCACTATCCCCGGTCCGGACACCACATGGAGATATGGGTGGAGAGCTATAAGATAGTGAAATGGTGAAGTCCGAGAGGAATGTCTTCAAAATAGATGGTGGAACTTAGTTTCGAAACACTGCTTGCTGTAGCATTCCTTTGGCATTGCTACAGCATTGGCTGCTGGAATTTGTGTTTGGGTCTCACCTTAAGTCTTACACCCTTGCTTCTTTTATATATTYTGTATTCTGTTTTGGATAACCTTAAAATCAAAGAAAAGTCTTCAAAATCGTCATCTGAAATCATCTCTTTCATTGGACTCTAATCTAACTTTGGCTACAATCCCTGTGGACGATAATCCGGTACTTATACCACTTATTACTTGGAAAGACGACGTTGGGCCGTATTGTATACTTGCTTTTCGGCCCATTTTCATTAAGTCTAAAGATGTGAAATATAACTGACCAGTATGAAATATGGTTTTAAAAAATGTTGAAAACATTTTATTTATAATAATCGATTAATAAAAATGCAATTTTATTATTTTTATAAATAATGAAATCCAATTCCTTTCCAAATCCTACAAACTAAAGACACTAATTATTTCCAATCTAAATCCCTACATGAAATTCAAATCCCCAAAAAACAACCTGCAAATCAAACGGACCCTAGAATTTTAGTATGTCTCAAAAACTCACCCCAAGGAATCCTTTTATACTTGGAGAATTTAGCAAACTTGCGATCATTATCAATGTCCACATTGTGTTCATTTTTCCTTGATGTCTAAGAGGCATGGTTTTGTCATCCCTGTTATGTTCAATATCTATTTTCTTAATTTTCAAATATATTAATTAAATGTAGTCTCATGCTGAAAAGTTGTTTCAGACGAAACTTGATCTAATGTACGGGGATTACAATTCTCGTAAACTTGATTTCGGTCCTCCAAGTGTGTATTTCTTAGCTACAGTTCATATCACAAAGGTTATCGATGCCTTCATCGAGCTTCAGTTATTTGTGAAACAAGCTGTCTTAGCTACAAAATTCACGCTACAGTTTGAGTTTGAGGGGGTGTGTAGAAATAAATAATAAAATGACAGCCTATGATGAAGATTCACAAAGATTGCCAAATCCAGTTATGGAATGATTAAAGCTTTCGTGTTAAAAATAAGCCCTTCATATGATTGTTACATGTACAATAAGCACATGATCAGAGACACTTATATGACATCCAATGAAGTATTCTTATAACGAGTCACGTAAAGTCCATTACTTGTATTCATATATGGATTTCCATATCTCTATATGAATATCTACGTATGCTAGTCATTATTGTATTTACTTCAACTAATACCAAATTAATACTTGACCATGCACATTTTAGAATATATTAGGGGTTGTTTGTTTACCTTTTCATAGTTCCATTAAGAGGCAACATCTGAATCCTTAAGAGATGCATCTTGTTTGGTAAAAAAGAAATTATGTCTCTTAATGGTTCTAAAACCCTCTGAATGATTTTGTATCTTAGACCTCCCTTAACCATTAAGCGCCGTAATTTTATTGTAAACAATTATCAAACAATTATATTTCATTTTGCACTATATCATGAGAGTCTCTTAATCATTCTGACCACTTAGGGGCTGTTTGGCAGTTGCTGAATGGTTTGGTGCAGAATGGTTAAGTGGTCAAAATGGTTAAGGAGACCAGAATGGTTAAGTGCTGAAATATTGTTTGGTAACTGTTCTCTGAATGACAACAAATTACCATTTTAACCCTATGTATGATTTAAGTCTAGACCATTTAAGCATTTCAGTGCACATACAATTAGCAGGAATATCATTCTTCACAATATTGCTAACAGTAGGCTTGTGAACTTTATTTTCAGTTTCACACAAGTAACAACGGATGTAGAGGAGAAATCGGTAATCATAGGTGAGCGAAACAGGGCTGTARCAGGGGCATAACAGAAGCACCAGAAAGAGCAATCAACAAGGGGCATAACAAGATTGCCATACTTGGATGAAAATTGTTCCAGGAAAGCACGATTGATTAAATCCAAAATCTCCAAACAAACTTGTAATAAATGACAGTATCCCTATTTGCAGATATTTCCATAGACAGCAAACAAGTAAACCCTAGTTCAACATTCAAAGTGAGCTTGGGCTTTAGATGATTCAACATTCATGTCATAAATGACAGTGAAATACCCGATTGGTGAAGACGATAGACAACCGGCGAAGCTGTGGAAGGCGGAGATAGAGACGGTGCAGGTGGCCGGAGATGGAGACGGTGAAGGCGACAACCGGCGAAGTTGTGGAAGGCGGAGATGGAGACGGTGGAGGTGGCCGGAGATGGAGACGATGAAGGCGACAACCGGCGAAGCTGTGGAAGGCGGAGATGGAGACGGTGGAGGTGGCCGGAGATGGAGACGGTGAAGGCGACAACCGGCGAAGCTGNACAACCGGCGAAGCTGTGGAAGGCGGAGATGGAGACGGTGGAGGTGGCCGGAGATGGAGACGGTGAAGGCGACAACCGGCGAAGCTGTGGAAGGCCGGAGATGGAAGGCGACATGAACTCGTGGAAGGCGACGTGAACTCTGGAAGGATCGTGAAGGCGACGCTGGAAGAGAGGGGTGGGAGGGGTAAAGATGGAACAAATGATGTCTGGATGGTTGAGTGAAGCACCAGACACAAAATGGTTAAGAGGGTCATGTAACCATTAAGAGGGCTGTTTTTTTTTGCCAAACACACTTCACCTCTGACCGATTAAGAGGTTGGCTCTTAATGTCACCATTAAGAGCCAAACAAACAGCCCCTTAATCACTCTCAGCAACTGCCAAACAACCCCTTATTCTACGATTATTATTACGTCTAAATAAAATATATAATATGATAATTGGGCAATGTCTTTATTTACATAATAATATGACGTAATATGTCCTAACATACAACTACCATGTAGGCATACACTAACTATTCATGTATAGAAATCAACCTCCAACCCTGTCTCGCACGTTATCCGCTAATGCTGGGAATTCGCCCCTCCCGGCCCGCAGATGCATGTCCCAATGGGTTAAAATTCATGTATTAAATTCCACATATATAAAACATTAATGCTACTCTTTTGACCACCTTCTCAAAATTCCTTCCGTCACAAACTAACGGAATGCCAATATACAAAAGGATTTGGATCACGAACATGAGCTACGATCCCATCCTATCCTCGACCCTAGTCCACGATCACCTCTCGAGTATCTGATTTAAGTACTCTCCTAGCTTTATTTCACGACTTATTTGGAAGTATATAATAACTTTACACAACAAAACGCGCATATATTCTTCATCTTTAGTGTGATTTGAACCGATCATATATATATATATATGCCAATTTCTAGTATCTTGTAAGATATTTTGACTAGTGTTATTGGGGTCCAACTCCAACATGTATAACTACAGAAAGCCCACTAGACACATGACTGGAGTTGGAGGAGACTCTTAGACAGTTGCTATTACTGCTACTGGCAGCAGCAGTTGTGGTGGTTGTACCTTGTGCTTCACATGTTGTACCTTCAGTTGGTGGGTCATCATCGTCACCACTAGAATGGGGCTCTGTTGGTGGGCCCACCACAGGTAGTGAAAGAGGGCCCACAGCTAAAAAAACACAGCATCTACAAAGGGGACAAGTGGAATTGGATTGAAGCCAATGGTGAATACAGTCTCTGTGGAAGATATGCTTGCATGATGGCACTTGAATCAACTCTTCATTCATTTCGAATTCACCAAGACAAACACAGCATCTGCCATACAATATCGTATACACAAAGTGTCATATAAAATAAATAATATAACTATGTATTTCATAATCATACATTCGTTATAACAAAATCGGGTTTATAGGACGCTCCAAATTTCTAAGCGTCCTAATAGACCTCTTTATAGGACCAAAAAATAAAGTGTCATATCTAAATGTGTTGTAATAAGTTTATATGATGTTTTTTGACGTCGTTAATAAGTTTTTTAAAACACTTTTAATATGAAGCGTTATGTTAACAACTTTATATATAAGACACTATTTGAAAAACTGTTCTATAAAACAAGGGTCCTATAAAAAATTGAGTTTATAGGACACTTTCTTAAAAGTGTCCTATAAAGTTTGCTAATGCGACGCTTTGTATTAAAAATGTCCTAAAAAACTTGTCAAAACGTCCAAAAGCGTCATATAAACTTATTACAACATCTTTAGATAGAACGTTTTATATTTTGGTCATATAAATTAAGTCCTATAAAACGGTCTATTGGGACGCTTAGAGATTGAGAGCGTCCTATAAACCTAATTTTATTGTAGTGATTTAATATCTCTCATGCTATTTGGAACCTTGATTATATATACTCATAAATTATGAAAAAATAGATTTAAGTTGAAAACAAGAGTAAATTGATAATTAATTAATGTTCCTTAGATTGATATTGGATTTAGGGGGTGTTTGGGATTTCTTATAAAAACAATTCATTGACTTATTTCAGTATGAAGCACTTTTGAGTGTTCGGATAAACAACTCAAACCAGTAATAAGAAGTTTTTGAAGAAGTTAAACCATTCTAACTTATAATGAGTTGATAAACACTTTTATAGAAAAACATAAATTGTTTCAATAAGCAATTTTAAACACGCCCTTAATAGATATTTTAAGTGGAGTAGGAAATACCTGTAAAATTCCACTAAAAATTAAGATTAGGATAAAGAAAAGAAAGTGAAAATTTGTAGAAAGAATAAAGTTGAAAAGTGCAGCATTGTTTCCAACTTTATATATTTCTTTTGCATAATTATATAATGATGTGGATTGGGAGCATATATGCCTGCCTGCCTGCCTTTAGAGATGGATGGCACTCCCATTTGATTCTACTTCATCTGTAATCACAATTTCTTATGCCACTTTTCAGCAAAAAGAAAGAAAGGCTCTAATTTGGAATATTGCCATAAATAAGATGTGGGCAAATAGTTAAGCTACTTTCATATATAGAGAAAGTCGTAAAAAAAATGAAAAATTAAGAAACATGTTGATAACCATTCATCTGAACGATATATACATGTGTATACAAGTAATTTGTAAGTATATATGTGTATACAAGTAATTTGTAAGTAATTTGTCTGGTAATGTACGTGTGCATGAAATGCAAACATGCATAAAAACCAAGAAACAACTTCAATTATTTGTGTGCACGTATGCATAAAAACCAAGAAACAACTTCAATTATTTGTATACACATGTGCATACCGTCGAGATGAATGGTTTGGGGTGTTCCTCAGTTTTTCACTTTTTTGGGAGTTTTTCCTCTAAACCTCCCTCCCTCCCTCCCTCCCTCCCTCTCTCTCTCTCTCTTATATATATATATATATATATATATCAAATCTAAATATGAAAGTTAAATATCATGAAAATGTAAAAGAAAAATTCATATGTAACAACATAACAAGTTTTATTGGCAAAGTTGGATAACGTCTTAACATGATGCAAGGAGTAAAATAGTTTTATAGTAAATTTATAGGTGTTTTTATGAAATAACTTTGATTACAATGTTAATAGAACAATTTTCATAAATATCCTACAAAAAACCTAATATGATGATTGTTGATTTTATAAACTTAAAAGTCCCATTAGTTATTATATCAGTTCATCCGACGGCTAGAAGTCTCAAAAAAGACATTTTACTGTTATATATATATATATATATATA